GTAGAAGATGAGCTGTTTCTCTCTTTCTCTCTCCCAATCACCCCCACATGTGTGTATGACATATTCTATATGAAACAACAACATAATAAACTTGTGAGAAAAATCAGTGAACACAATGATATCCTGATACAATGCTATTTAGATTTCTTCCAGGTATATAATTTCTCCATTTATCATTTTGTTATCATATCATTTTCATCATTTTTTTCTATGAAACACTAAAACCCTAAAAACACTTTAAGGAGATTTATTTCTTAGAGATAGCAAGGTAGTAGAAAAACTGAAGTAAACTTCTATTTGATAGCTGTCTTAAGATTCTAAGGAAACTAAATGAGCAGTTATCAATGGTAGTGATTGGTAGAGAATAGCAAATATTTCCCCCAGAAAGAACAGATTTAACAAGAGCAGAAAGGTGCAGAGATAATTCAGGTAAATCCCATTTATAGTTGCTACCAAAAATTACTAAGAAATAAATTTAACCAAGAAGGCTAAAGATACATACAATAACAACTACAAAACACTGATGAAAGAAATTGATGAAGGTACAAATATAAAGATTTCTGATGTTACGGATTTGGAGAATTAATATCGTTAAAGTACCCATACTACCCAAGGCAATCTACACATTTAATGCAATTCCTACTAAACTTCCAATATATTTTTTCACAAAAATGGAAAAAAATACTAAAATTCATATGGAAACAGAAAAGAGCCTGAACAACCAAAATATATACTAAGATGTTGTGATCAAAATAGACACACATCAACCAATGGAATAGGAAAGAGACCCAAGAAATAAATTTGAGTATTTATGGTCAATTGGTTTTTCAACAAGCATGCCAAGATCACAGAAAGGGGAAAGAGCATTCTTTAATGAATGGTGTTTTGAAAACTGGGCATCCACATGCAGAAGAAATATTAACAGATTTGAAGGAGTACATGGACTGTAATTTACTATGAGTAATTATAAGAGACTTGCATATCCCACTTTCAGCAATGAACAGATCATTGAGATAGAAAAATCAATATGGAGGCACTGGACTTGCACTACAATTTAGAACAAATGGATTAACAGATATTTACAGAGTGCTCCATTCAACAGCAATAGAATATGCACTCTTATCATTTGCCAGGAACCTTTGCCAGGATAGATCATATGTAAGGCGACAAAACAAGTCTTAACAAATTTAAGGAGACTGAAATTAATTTAATTAACTTTCCTGACCACAGTGGCATGAAATTAGAGACTAATAACAGGAAGAAACTTATAAAACTCATGAACTTGTGGAAATAAAGCAACCACGCTTCGGCCAACTGATGGATCAAAGAAGAAATTAAAAGGGAAATTTGAAAATATATTGAGACAAACAAAAGTGAAAACACTTTTAACAAAATTTATGGGATGCAGCAAAAGCAGTCTGGACAGGAAAGTTGCTATTGTTTCAGTTGGTAAAAGTTCATGGGTTGGACACTTAATTCCTCAATGTGGCAGTTGTTAGGAGGTGGGGCCTATTGGAAGGTGTTTGAGTTATGAAGGCGGAGCTCTCATGGATTAGTGCCTTTCTCACTGAGAGACTTCTTGTTCTTGTGGTGACAGTTTAGTTATCAAAAGAGTAGGTTCTTATAGAGTAGTTTCTCCTTCATGTTCTCTCTCTCACTTTGGAATGCACCCATTTGCCTACCAGTTTTTACATTGAGTTGAAACAGCAGAAGGCCCTTACCAAATGCAGCTCACTGATCTTGGATTTCCCAGCCTCCAGAACTATGGCCCAAAATAAATGTTCCTTTATCAGTGGAAATATGTACTAAGAGAGAGGATTACAGCAATAAATGTCTGCATTTTTTTTAAAAAAAGGGAAGATTGCAAATAGAACCTAACATTATACCTCAAGAAAGTGGAAAAAGAACAAGCAAGATCAAACAAAGTAGAAGGAAGAAAATAATAAAGTTCATAGAAGAAATAAGATAGAGACTGGAAAAATAATACTAAAAAAATCAAGGAAATTAAAAGCAGGTTTGAGTAAAAGACAATTAATTACCCATTAGCAAGAGTAACAAAGAAAAAAAGAGAGTACACTCAATCAAAACCAGAAATGAAAGAGAAGGCATTATAACTGATAGCACAGAAAAACAAAGACTATTAGGAGACTATTATGAACAACCATTCACAAATAAATTGGATAACCTAGAAGAAGTGGATGGATTCCTAGAAGCATGCAACCTCCCAAGACTGAATTGACAAGAAATGAAACAGATGAGCAGACCAGTAATTAGTAAGTCAATCAATAATAAAAATACCCTTTTTGTAAAAAAGGGAAAAAAAAAGCCTTAGGGTCAAATGACTTCACAGTTGAATTCAATTGAACATTTAAAGGAGGATTAACACTAGATCTTCCTTAAACTATTCCAGAAAGTTGAAAGGGATGGAAATCTTTCAAACTTATTCGTGTGAGCCCAGCCCTGCCCTGATACCAAAGCCAGATAAGGACACTATAAGAAAGAAAGCTACTGAGCAGTATCCTTGATGATCAAAGATACAAAAATCCTCAACAAAACATGAGCAGAGTTTAGCAGCACATTAAAAAGATATTGACTATGGTCAAGAGGGATTTATCACAGGGATGCAAGATGTTTCAACATATGTAGATTAATAAATGTGATACACTGTATTAACAAAATGAAAGGTGAAAGACCACATGAATACTTAATAGATGCACAAAGAGTGTTTAATAAAATTCAACATCCTCTTTCATGATAAAAACTCTCAAAAAATATAGAAGGAATGTATCTCAACACAATAAAGACTATATGTGATAAAAAGTTTAACATTTCCAACAGCAAAAAGTTGAAAGTGCTTCCTCTTCGATCAGGAACAAGGCAAGAATGCCCTCACTCACCCCTTCTATTCATTTTAGTACTTGAAGTCCTAGCCAGAACAATCAGGCAAGGAAAAGAAATAAAAGACATACATATAGAAAAGTAACAACTAAAATTATTTCTGTTGGATGATTGCATGATCTTACATACAGAAAACTCTAAAGACTTCACAAAAATTACTGGAACAAATAAATACAGTAAAGTTGCAGATTATAAAATTAATATACAAATATCAATAACACTTGAATGTACTAACAAGGAACTATCTTGAAAAAGAAAATAAGAAAATTCTATTTATAATAACATCAAAAACAACCTCCCCCCCCAAAAAAAAACCTTAGAAGTCAATTAAACCACCTTTTATCAAGGCACATACAATGGCCACTCAACTCAAGAGTATATTTCCCTGGGGCTGGTGTTGTGGCACAGCAGGTTAAGCCGCCACCTGCAATGCTGGCATCCCATAGGAGCCCTGGTTCAGTCCTGACTGCTCCACTTCCAATCCACTCTCTCCTAAAGCATCTAGGAAGGCAGCAGAAGATGACCGCAGTACTTGGGCCCCTGCCACCCACCTGGAGACCTAGAGGAGATCCAGCCTACTGGTTTGGGGCCTGATACAAATGGCCCATGGTGTGGCCATTTGGTGATTGAACCAGCACTTGAATATCTCTCTCTCTCTCTTTTTCTCTCTCTCTCTCTCCCTCTTTCTCTCTGTAACTCTGCCTTTCAAAGTAAAACAAATGGTAAAAATTGAGAAGACTGCATTTCCCAGTCCCCTATTATATTTGGATGTGGCCACATCACAATGTTCTAAACAATATAGCACGTGCAACTTCTGCATCACTTGCATAAAAGGAAATTATTTTCCACATTTTCGCTCTTTTTCCTGTGGTCTGAAATGAGCAGGGCCCTGGTGAACCAACTCTGATCAAATAGATCAACATGAAATGCCAAAGGAGGTTGGTGGTAGAGCACAATGTTAAGGAAAGCTAGGTTTCTGGACACTTCAATGGAGCAGAGCTTCCTACCTTACAGAGATCGCTTGACTGCTTCTGGACTGGAAATGGGAGATAGAAATAAACTCCTCTGTTGATAAAGTTACTGTGCTGCTAGTTGTCTTTATTACTGCAAAATTCAAACTAATATGCAAACTCTAGGGCCTACAGGGACCAGAAAGTCAATATAAATAAATAAATGAATCATCTAGATGACTGTTCAAACCTGGAGCACAAAGCTGTATCTAAAGGAAGCAACCACAACAGGTCTAGCTGACTGCTGCCATAGAAGCAAGCTTAGAATTTGCAATTCTGCTAATTATTAACTAATCTGGATTGGCAAGAGAAGTCTCTCAGTTTTGTAAAATATTACAAAACAATTATAAAGTTTAACTGCGGACAAAACAAAAATGTCTCTGTATAAGCTTCAAGGCAAAAAATTCCAGTGTGTAACCTGTTCAAGACTAAAGGATAGCACTGAATATAAAATGCATAAATATGGTTATCTCAACAACTTTCCTTATTTCTTAGAAATGCTTTCGTTTTTCTCTTGAGGATGGTCATCCTATCAATGGTAGCTCATTATTATATGTGATTTTAAGTGTTTGTCTTGTATAAAGAACATAAGAGGGTTGAGTTTAAATGGAGCTTTAGTCTTCTTCATTATCTATATGTTGACACCAGATAGTTCTGTAATTTGTTTTGGTTGTTTCTCTTTTCTTTTCTTTTTTTTTTTTTTTGTATTTTTAAAAATTTTATTCGAGGTATATAATTTGCATGTATTTCTTATACACATATTTAGGAACAAAGTGATAATACCTACCTTATCCTCCCTCCCGACCAAACTCCCTTCCTTCTTTCTGTACACTCCCCTATTCCCACTGCTCCCACTCTTAATTTCTACAAAGATTTATTTTCAACTTACTTTATACTCATAATATTAACCCCACCATAGGTAAGGAGTTCAACAAATAGTATAGGAAAAAAAAAATACTGTTCCTTATCACTAGAGACAATAGAGACAAGGGCTGTAAACAATCATCAAATCTCAAAATGTCAATTTCACTCCAATACATTACATTTTAGGTACTCTATTTATTATGACAGATCAGGGGAAAAAAATTTTACCTCTTTATATATTCCAGTGCATTCATAGTAGTCTCTAGAAGGGAGGCCAAGTCGAGGTTGGTCAATCTATAACAAAAATACATAAAAGAAAATAAAATTGTTCCTCTGATATAGAACAGCTGGCCGATGTATGCACAGGATCCTAGTCTTCCTGTTTATAAGGGTAGCAGTCAAACACTGAGCTCATATATAACTAAAAAATGGTTTCTACAATGGTTTCAATGTTAAACTGATGAGCAATTAGATCATCTGGAAGACTGTGCTGCAAAAAATTGAGGAAAAGCAAAGAAACTTGAACAAAAAATACACTGTGAGGGAATTTTAACGCAGAGCAGAAGTGCAGATGAGTGGAAATATATTAGCATTCAAGACTAGGGAGCCTACAAATTATACATGTACAGGCTTCCCAGCATCATGAGATCCTAATATGCTCCCCTGGGAACCTTCTCATCCACTCCCACCCATAACTAGGACTCACTTACTAGAGGGAGTGGCTCATATCCTCCAAGTTTATTTGGATGGGTTGTGGGGGAGAAGTGGAAAACCTCTATGGTAAATGTAGAACTTTTGAAGCTAGCTTAAATCTATTTTTCCCTAGATACTTTTATATAAGGGATATAAACTTCATGTATTTCATAAATACAACCTTAGGAACATAGTGATTCTTCCCACCCTACCTGCGCTCCACCCCTCTTGCTTCTCCCTCTCCTATTCCCATTCTTATTTTTTACTAAGATCTATTTTCAATTAACTTTATATACACACAATTAACTCTATGTTAAGTAAAGAGTCCAACAAATTGCATGAAAAAGAAAAAAAAAACTGTTCCTCAACCATCAAGACAAAGGCTGTTCAAAGTCATTGCATCTCAAAGTGTCAATTTCAATACTACAGCCGGTGCCATGGCTCACTAGGATAATCCTCCACCTGCGGTGCCAGCACCCCAGGTTCTAGTCCCTTTGGGGAGCCGGATTCTGTCCAGTTGCTCCTCTTCCAGTCCAGCTATCTGCTGTGGCCTGGGAAGGCAGTGGAGGAAGGCCCAGGTCCTTGGGCCCTGCACCCACATGGGAGACCAGGAGGAAGCACCTGGCTCCAGGCTTCAGATCAGCACAACGCCCCGGCTGCAACACACCAACCATAGCAGCCACTTGGGGGGTGAACCAACGGAAAAAGGAAGACCTTTCTCTCTGTCTCTCTCTCTCTCTCACTGTCTAACTCAACCTGTCAAAAAAAATTCACTACTATAGATGACCTTTTAGATGCTCTATGAGTTACCACAGATCAGGGATAACATATGGTGTTTGTCCTTTGGGACTAGCTTATTTCACTAAGCATGATGTTTTCCAGTAGATTTTGTTGCAAATGACAGGATTTCATTTTTTATGGCTTACATGTGATCTAGCCTAGAGAAAGTTCCATGAAATGGTGAGAAGAATTAGAAAGCTGAAACTGTAGGATGCAAAGTTCTTAGATATCCATTAGGTCTATTTGGTCTATAGTGTCAATTAACGCTGTTGTTTCCTTGCTGATTTTCTGTCTGGTTGATGTGTCCACTGATGAAAGTGGGATACTGAAGTTCCCCATTACTATGGTATTGGAGTCTATGTCTCCCTTTAGACCCATTATTTTTCTTTCAAATAATCAGGTGCCCTGTAGCTAGTTACATATATATTTACAATAGTCACATCTTCTTGTTGAATTGATCCCTTAATCATTGCATAGTGCCCTTCTTTGTCTCTTTGAACAGTTTTTGTGTTAAAGTCTATTTTGTCTGATATTAGGATGGCTACATCAGCTCTTTTTTTGGTTTCTCTTAGCATGGAATATCTTTTTCCATCATTCCACTTTCAATCTGTGTGTATCTTTGTTGGTAAGATGTGTTTCTTGTAGGCAGCAAATAGATGGGTTTTGATTTAATCCATTCAGCCAGTCTGTGTCTTTTAACTGGAGAGTTGAGGCCATTTACATTCAAGGTGACTACTGTTAAGTAACAACTTTACCCTGCCATTTTTCCATAAATATTCCTATTGGTTACTTTGGATTTGCTTCGTACTTACTGGGAGATTTTCAGTCTTCCTCTTCTTTCATAGTGATGATCATGTTTCTGTGTTTCTGTGTGTAGCACATCCTTAAGCATCTTTTGTAAGGTTGGATAAGTGGTGACAAATTCTTTCAATTTCTATTTGTTATGGAAGGTCTTTATTTCACCTCCATTCATAAATGAAAGCTTTGAAGCGTACAGTGTTCTGGGTTAACTGCTTTTTTCTCTTAAAACTTATAATATATCTTGCCATTCTCTCATAGCCTGAAGTATTTCTGATGAGAAGTCAGCTGTGAGTCTAATTGGAGATTCTCTGAAAGTAACCTGGCATTTCTCTTGTGTACATTTTAGAATCTTGTTCATGTTTTATTGTGAAGAATTTGACTACAATGTGTCATGGTAAAGATCTTTTCTGGTCATGTCTATTATAATTTCTATGTGCTTCCTGTATTTGGACATCCCTTTCTTTCTCCAAACTGGGGAAGTTTGCTGTAATTCTTTCACTAAAAAGGTCTTCTAATCCATTCTCTCTTTCCATGCTTTTAGGAACTCCTAAGACCTTTATGTTGGGTTGTTTGATAGTATCCTATAAATATCCAACACTGTTTTTTCAGTTTTCTAATTTCTTCTTCCTTTTTATTGTTCTGACTGTAAAATTTCCAAATTTACTTGCTGACTCTGATATTCTATATTCTGCATCACCAAGCTTTTATTTTTTTTTTAAGATTTATTTATTTACTTGAAAGGCAATGTTACAGAGGCAGAGGTAGAGAGAGAGAGAGGTCTTCCATTCGATGGTTCACTCCACAGAGGGCCGTAACAGCCAGAGCTGCATGGATCTGAAGCCAGGAGCCAGGAGCTTCCTCTAGGTTTTCCACACGGGTACAGAGGCCCAAGGACTTGGGTCATCTTCTACTACTTTCCCAGGCCATAGCAGAGAGCTGGATTGGCAGCGGAGCAGCCAGGTCTTAAACTGGCAGCACAGGTTGCGGCTTTACCTGCTATGCCACAATGCTGGCCCCTTCACTGAGTTTTTTGTTAAGGATTTCCAGCATATTTCTTATTTGATCTATTGAATTATTCATTTCCAATATTTCATTTTGATTTCATTTTAAAATCTCAATTTCATGGCGAAATTTTTCATTCAGAACATGTCTGGATTTCTTTAATTTGTGGATTTGCTTATTATTCTGAGTAATCCTATGATCAATTTTTTTTAATTCCATTTCTAGCATTTCTTCAATCTCTTCATCTTCACATTCTAGTATTGAAGTGTTGTTGTGTTCCTTTGGGGCATCATGTTGTCTTCCTTATTCTTGTTTCTTGAATTGTTGCATTTATTTTTAGGTATTGTGGAGATACTTGTTGTTTTTATTTTTCCTCTGCAATGATATTTATCCTTGGACCACACCTCTGTGGCATAGTGGAGTATCTGCTCTTTCAGTAAATACCTAGAGACATGTGTTGGGTGTGTCCAGGGAGCTCTGTTCAGTGCTCCAGGGTAAAGGGAATGTCCAAGGAGACATCCAAGTTGGGTGTGGTAAATCTCTCTTTTTTTTTTTAGTCAGAAAGGAAGTTGAATTAGCCCCATTGGCATAGTCTCACACACACCTCCTCTCCTCCAAGGAGACCAATGCTTTGTCATTAGCCCATGTGGGTACAGTATTCCTCCACGCTGCCACAGGAACCACACCCAGGATCCTTGCTGTTCTGGCTGTGAGCATGGATCTCACAGCAATCACCCTCACCAGGGAATCAGGGAGCCAGAGCATGTGGAGCCACCTATAGGGATTGCTCAAAGACCAGCCACACCCTGTATCCTTCTACGTAGCCATAGTATTTTCACAGTTCCAGCATACAAGATTCCCACAGTCAGAAGCACCCAGTCCCTTGTCAATTCTCCCAGCCAGACTCAGGTGTCTCCTCTAGGCTGGTTGCTAGGCACAGGGACACAAGCTGGTGCAATTGTTACACATGTCCATAATGGTACCCGTTCTGTCTCGTCTAGCTATAGGATGCTGGTGCCAGGTGGTCAGGGAGAGAGAAATGTGTCCCTTTTTTCCCCTCTATGTTGGCAGATACACTGTCCCTCACAGGGCTCCAAGCCAGACTCATGCCAGGCTCTTCCTGTAGCTTTATCGTCAGTGGCATGCCTGCTGCAGTCTGGTCTCACCTCACTCTCCAAAGCTGGTGCTGAGGCTCTCAGCTGCTGGGGTCCTGAGTTGTGCATGTCCACACCCTCCACATAGATCCACAGTGTCCTAATTTTCATTGAGTTTCCTCTGTAGTTTTCTCCTTAACTCTTCTCTGAGATTGTACTCTCTCTACTTTTTCTTAAGTATCTTCCCCTAGACTAGAGCAGTAAGCTCCCTATTCCACCATCATAGGATCTCTGCAGCTCTTTAGCTAGTATACATCTTGCCAGAATTTTTTCTTTACCTCCTGTATTCTAGGAGCATGAAAAAGACTCTGCCTTATTTCCCCAAAAGTCATTCTGCAAAGCGCATCAGAAGACCCAGACAGCAGCTTGCTGTATGAGAGAGGAAGTTCAGTTCTGCTCAGTGCATCTGGCTCCCCTTCCTTACCCATGTGTAAGTTACCTGTGCACCTTCTCAGCTTTTTGAGATGGCTTCTAATTCACTGCACATTAAGATGGGTGCAGGGGTGAGCTGGAACATTTTAGTGAGAACCTTGTAGCTGTGAAATACCCAGGCCAATTCCAAAGAAATATAATGCAAAGGACTGGTGGACAGAGCCAGAAAGAGTCTCCACATAAAAGGCTCTGCTCCTTTCCCCACCTTGCTACCCTCAAGGTGATCATGTAGGATGTAGGCATTTGAGGGTTCAAGGAGAGATTTTCAGAAGGGAGAAAGGGAATCTGCCATAGGAGGGAGATGGGTTTTATTCCTTTCACAATTTTAATAAATATGAAGAATGAAATATAAAGGTTTACACTAAAGAGACAGATTTGACTCTATGACTTATCACTTTGAGTATAGTTTCTTTTACAAGAGACCAAAGAAAAGCTCTATAAAATTTTAGTTCGTCCCAAACATGTTGATTAATCTCATTTCAAGTGACACCTAAATAAATGGTTTACATTAAACAGAAAAATCTAACAAAGCCATTTAAAAAGAATTGCATTGTATTTTCCTTCATTGAGGAAAGGTATAGATATTCGTTAGGAATTTTTGTTTTCCACACCTGAATTACTTACAGAAACCAAAGCATGCTCCTTTTAAGAGACAGATAAAGTTATTGAGTGCCTTCTCTGAGTTGGAGGGCCATTGAGCACGTCCAATCATTTAATTAATAAAGGGAGAAGTATTTAAAACAAGGGTAGCAGAAGTGAGGTGAATGTCTAAAAGAGCATTAAGAAAATATTTTGAAAATTGGAACTCCAAGTAACAGGGACAGGGCAAGAATTTATTACCACCTAGATCATGAAATGCCAATGAAAATATGCATTAATCTTTCACATTACTTTTAAATATCAGTAACAACAAAGTGTATGGAAGCTCATTTCAATTTAAAGACAACTTTGGCTGTCAGCCATACAAACTTACATGAATTATATGGTTCATAGAGTTCTTATCATCAGTGCCAACAAAGAAATTAATCAGGACTTTTTTCCCATACTTAGAATTCAGTTGTGCAATAGATTTCTCAGCTGACCAAGAAGTACCTAAAGCAACAAAAGGTGAAATGCATGTTGAGGAGTTTTAGTTCATTATTATGAAACTGTAATGTAACATAGATTTTATGTGACAATTATTTTTAAAAAATAATGAAAACTGCCTTACCGTATGTTTGCTCCCAGTTTTGTGTTGCTACTGGCCACCCATACACATCTGGTAACAATTTGAGTAGAGGTTGTCCACCTCTACTGTCAATAGCAGCTTTGGAAAGCAATGAAAATGAATTTAAGATGAACTCTACACACATTCTGGCACAATAAATGCACACTCCTGACAAATCAATTCAAGAGCACTTACTTTCATTTACACAAGACCTGTACAGTGTTTTTGCTTTTTGCACTGCCACGATATCTTCGGTTTTGGGCTCCTGAAGGACATCTGAAAGAGGACATTTCAAAAAATGCATCAACATAATTGCTCATTTGCAATGGTACTAACATTTTCAATGTAAGTTCAATAAATTTTTTTTTTTTTTAGTATACATGTTCATTCCATCCTCATTCCAAACTCATAGGAAAACTCATACTCTTCACCAGATCACCATTCCTACTGCAGAATCGGGAGTTGGTCTCCTTAGATAAGTTAGTAGAGTCTTTTAGAGTAGATGGTCTCTTTTTGTGAATAGTGATGTGTACTTGTCTTATAATTGAAATAAAAAAGATGTTACTTTCTTGAAATTGAGATCAAAACAAATAATTATACAGAAGCATTTAGAATTGAATATGGATAGACATTTTCACAGCTGGAAAAATAATTATTTGTGTGATTGAACTGTTCATTCTCTAAACAAGCTGAATGAACTGTTCTTGTTTGGATGCTAAAAAAAAGTGAAAAAAATTATTCTTCTACAAAGTAACTTCTAGAAGAGGAAAGAATAGAGGCTGGAGGATAAGAGGGATTTGTCCATACTTTTTTTTTTTTTTTTTTTTTTTTTTGGACAGGCAAAGTTGGACAGTGAGAGAGAGAGAGAGACAGAGACAAAGGTCTTCCTTTTTCCTTTGGTTCACCCCCCAAGTGGCCGCTACAGCCAGTGCACTGCGCCGATCCGAAGCCAGGAGCCAGGTGCTTCCTCCTGGTCTCCCATGCGGGTGCAGGGCCCAAGGACCTGGGCCATCCTCCACTGCACTCCTGGGCCACAGCAGAGAGCTGGACTGGAAGAGGAGCAACCGGGACAGAATCCAACGCCCCAACCGGGACTAGAACCCGGGGGCTGGCGCCACAAGCGGAGGATTAGCCTAGTGAGCCGTGGCGCCGGCCCTGTCCATACTTTCTAAACTTGCCTGGAGAGTGTCTTAGCTGTGTGTACAGATACAAACACACAAACATACCGAGAAGTCAAATCTCAGTAACATTTTATAATGGCTTTAACATGGTTAGGGAAAGAAACCATCCAAGCAGTTTTTAATGGTAATCATTTAAATTTTTTCTTCTGTAAAATGGCATAAAATGCCATCTCAAGGAATGATAAAGTTTATGGTTTGCCTACCTATAAATGAAAGGGGGAATGCTACAAGATGCCAACATATCCTTCTTTTAAAGATTTATTTATTTATTTATTTATTTGAGAGACAGAGTTAGAGAGAGAGGGAGAGAGAGAGAGAGTCTTGCATCTTCTGGTTCATTCCCCAAATGGCTGCAGCGGCTGGAGTTGAGCCAATCTGAAGCCAAGAGACAGGAGCTTCTTCCAGGTTTCCCATGTGTGTGCAGGGACCCAAGCACTTGGGCTATCTTCTACTGCTTTCCCAGGCTGTATCAGAGAGCTGGATCAGAAGAAGAGCAGCTGGGACTTGAACCAGTGCCCATATGGGATGCCTTTACTACAGGCAGTAGCATTACTGGTTCGTCCACAGGGCCAGCCCTAAGATGCCAACATATCTATTTCTGTGTCTAGCACTGTCAGCTTGACCCAGTGGTAGTACACAAATCCTGAAGAAATGATCAACTTTAATCTTTTGGATTAAAAGGCTGCAAGGCTAACCCCTGCAAGGCCAACAGTTTTATCTTACAAAATGAATCTATTAAGAGAGAAATCTTTGACACACAGACACAATCTCTACTAACCTTTCAAAATGACTTCTAGCTCATCTCTTAAAATGTCAAAGTTACTGTAACGGGAGCTGGTCTCCGGGATGACGTTGCGTTTCAGCCAACCACCACAGGCATACTTGAAAAAGTCTGTGCAGGGCTCAGCAGTGGCATCCATGTTCTGGATCAGTCGAGCAGCTGAAAGACCAGAAAAAGGACTTGATAAAATGAATGGCATATTTCTCATGTAGTTTAGAATGTTGAAAAAGAGGCATACTGCTACTTCTCTGTGATTACATCAATGGGACTAACATTCATTTTCCTTACATGCAACAGTCAATTCAAGTGGAATAATGAATACTGTCCGTACATAGTCCTCTACTATAGCTGGTTCACTTTATTCTTAAGTGGTCTGGCACCCCCTCACTCTATTTCCCAACCACCACCACCACCCCCTGAAAAATTGAATTTCTTGCTAGTTCTTCAGAAGAAAAAAAAATATAGGTCTACTTGGCCTTGGCCATGGTGAGCCTGGGGTTCACATTACGTCACTGTTCGCTGATAACTCTAGTTGCTGACTCTGGTTCTCAAGGTGCTGTGACTTATGAGTGCCTCTGAGACTGCAGGGAATGGGGGCCTGATACGGATTTCTATCATTTTAGTAAAGATCTGAGACCACAGGTATTTCTCCGTGGATTTTGCTCACGAATTTTTGCAACTAAAATTTGACCTCCAATTTGCATTTGTTTATGTAGAGTCTTATAAAATTGGCTGTAAGCTTGTTAGTTTTTCTTATGTCCACTCTTTTATCTTTGAGAAATATAATGGAAATATAAATTAGCCAACACTTAGTTTTTATAATGTGCAAGACACTGATTCTGCTACATTCTACAACTGCTAAAAAGATGAGTCAAATATGGATGCTTATCATTGAAAACAAGAGTGGCCCAATGCCCACAACGTCTACATCTGCTACTGTCTTTCCCACTTTCTTTCTCAACTTTCTTACAAGTTGAACTCTTTGGCAATGAAAACAGAAAACGCAATTGAGAATTCATCTGTATAAAGAGAGTATAAGTTCTCGGGCCAGTGTCATGGCTCACTAGGCTAATCCTCCACCTAGCGGTGCCGACACACCGGGTTCTAGTCCGGGTCGGGGAGCCAGATTCTTTCCCGGTTGCCCCTCTTCCAGGCCAGCTCTCTGCTGTGGCCAGGGAAGGCGGTGGAGGATGGCCCAAGTGCTTGGGCCCTGCACCCCATGGGAGACCAGGAGAAGCACCTGGCTCCTGCCTTCGGATCAGCACGGTGCACCAGCCGCAGCGTGCCAGCCGTGGCGGCCATTGGAGGGTGAACCAACAGCAAAGGAAGACCTTTCTCTCTGTCTCTCTCTCTCTCTCACTATCCACTCTGCCTGTCCAAAAAAAAAAAAAAAAAAAGAGTATAAGTTCTCAAATAAGCTTTTGAAAATACCTCATTTTCTGAATTAATTAATTAAAAACTTCAAACAATTGCTGAGCTGTGTGAATCTGCAAATGTGCCAGCTTGGATGGTAAATCGGTTTTCCAGATGAGCCGTAAGCCCCCACTTCTAACCACTTCTTGCACAAGTTTGCTTGTTGGCCATCTCAAGCCCCAGGTCTTTAATGCTAAACTATGCGGGTTATTTGAAAACCAATCCTCCTTTGATTTTATGTTCTGGTATACAGCACAGTTGTCATCACAGCCTTCCAGACTTGAAACTTTGGTTGAATCTCTTGCCTTACCCTACCTCCCAACATTGGACGTAATGGTACTTACTTAGCCTCTTTTCCATACTTCTCTTCCCATGGCCAGGGTCACCTTGTTCCCATTTTTATCCTGTTTTGATTGTAAGTCACCCTTATTTTATACATTTTGCAGATTTTTCACAGATTAAACTTCCCAAAAGACTTTTTTTCATAGTCCACAACTTTGTTCAAAAATGCCGATGGTTGGATGTTTCCTAGATTAAACTACAAACTCCTTAACCTGGTCATGAAATCTTTACCAGGCTAAGTCTAAGCTGCTACCTTCCCTTTTTACCCTCCATTTTTATAACAATTCTGTTCCCAAAAAGATGATCCATCTTAATGTGCCACAAACACGTCGAGCGTACTCCTAGTCCTCTGCCTTTGCTTCTGGCTCCTCACCTCCGCCCACGAACCCCCACCCCCTGTTTTAACTGCCCCTCCCTCCATTCTGTCCAAATAGTACCCACTGTTCAAGGCTCAGTTCATGCCCCTTCTCTTCCCTGAAGCTTCTGTGACTTCACACTTCAAACATTTCTTTATCTGAATTCCTGTGAGCTTGAGCTCATCGCCTTACTCAGCCATTAATGCTTAGAGGATGCTGCTTTGGGCTTTTCACTGTGGACACCTACTCTGTCTCCCTAATGGGTCTGTTGACATCACTAATATCTTTGCATTCCCATCACCCAACACCTGCTTCACAGAGGCCACTTTTGTTTACATGCTCCTGAGTCATCTAGGAGTCTTCTGAGTTCTCTTCTTTCACACACCCCACCGCTGCCCCTACAGGCCAGATCCATTCTCATTTCAACAACTCCAGAGTCCATTCCATTCTCTCCAGGCTCACCACTTCCATTCTTCCTCAGGCTGTTTTTGAGACCAAGCTATGGCCCCAAGCCTCTCCCTTCTGAGACCAGCCTGTGCTCCACAGGTAGACAAACATTCTAAACCATTTCTGCATGGCATCTACCACTCCAAGGTCTCCAGTACAGTCACAATTCAGCCTCCTTAGCATATTCTAACTTTATCTAATGAAGGCCCTCCCTTGATACAGTCACACCTGGGCCATGAATACACTGAACTTCTGTGAAACACTTGGCAGTTTTTCAAAATCTGTAACTTTTCCCAGGCTATTCCAGCCCCAACATCTACAAGTCTATCTTTTAGTATTTTTTTCACCTTCTGAAATTTCAGAGATTTCCAAAGCCCAGTTCAAGCCTCCTTCTTTGTGAAATTGTCCTAATGAAGTCTCTGAGATTTGTAAGCATCGCATTAGTTTTTTGCATTCAAATTATTTACTTCCTCACCTAGTCTAGCTCCATTTAGAGTAGAGAATGCATTTTCCAGTTCTCACAGAACCTAACACTCTCCTCAATCAAGACAATCAGATGAAGATTAAGAAACCATGGGTGGCACCATGGCATTGTCTGACTGACTCACCGGCATCCCATTTGAATGCTGGTTCAAGGCAGCTGTTCCACTTTACATGCAGCTCCCTGCTAACACACCTGAGAAAGCAGCCAAAGAAGGTCCAAGTACTTGGGCCTCCACTACCCATGTGGGAGACCTGGATGGCATTCCATGCTCCTGGCTCAGCCCTGGCTGTTGTGGCCATGTCTTGAATAAAGCAGCAGATAGCAAGTAGGTCTCACTCTCTCTGTGTCTCCATCTCTCTGTGTGACCTCTTCTTTCAAATACATTAATCTTTTTTTAAAAGGCAGCTGATCTCATAAAGGTACAGAAAAAGCAGTAATTCCCTTGAATTTTGAAGGACATAAAGATATGATGGGGGAACTGAAAATAAAGACCCTAAACACAGGATTTTCATGTCAAGCAGAAAAATAAAAAATGGACCCTGAGAGAAGTGCTAATGAAAGACATTATAATAACACACTTTTTGCCATTTTACATAACTTTTGGCTTTTAAAATACTTAAAAAATTTTCAACTGGATGTTGTAAAAGCTTCTGCCATTTGGGGGGCACTTCTCTCATCTTCCCCTCTCAGGGGAAACCACTGGTTTATGGTACGACACCACAGAGCCATCAACTTTTACTCCATAGAGTAGCAAACAAGCAATGAACAAGTGGAGTGAACCAGAAGAGTCATGTGCAAGTCTTATTGCTGTTGAGAAAACCACCTGAGCCTTTAAACACCTGTAAAGGATGGGTGCAGGTCCTGAGTGAATGCAGCTATACCTCCCACATCTTCCACTAGGAACAAAGATTAGCCCTCCCTGCTTCAGGTGAATTTCCTCACCTGATACCCAGTAGAGCTACACTACCTACCCCTGCACAAGGATCCAAAGAAACAGGGTTCAATTGGTGAGGAATACCCAATGGAGAGAGCAAAAGAGGCAACTTTGCTAACTCCTTCCTGTGCCACTTGGTAAACTGCTCTTTGACCAGAGCAGTTTGATTGAGCATGTGTGTTTCCAATCACTTCAAAGTGAGTTCTCTATTCTGATGAAAATTTTGGTGGAGAGTCCAAGGCAAGTCAACGGCTAGCACTTTGTTGCTAGGTCTTTGATCAACCTTCCTTTAATCTCTTATCATGGGTTAGACTCTCCTTTTGCACCTCATCCCCCAGACCTCCTCCTCCTCCGTGTTGACTTGTCTTTGAAGTCAGGGGTAGACTTGTGGGTAGAAGGGCCACAGGAAACAGATGCACAACTGTCAGACAGGCTGTAATTGTTTTGCTGTTTTGTACTTTGTTTTGAATTACTCAACCTCTCCACACTGCCACACCTGGGCTCTTCAGATGTTTCCTTACCTGTGGGTTTCTATCTTCTGAGTAAACAAATGTGGTTTAAAAATCAAACAAAATCTCTCTCCTTAATAAGCAGACGTAAAAATGACGTAGTAAAGATGAAAATGTAGTGACATGGAATGTTGTTGACCAGATGTTTAGAGTAAAAAAAAACTATACTCTGATCTTTAAAAATCTGAGAGTACTCACACAGTTAATGAAAAAATGGAATTAAAGGATGATAAGCTTCTTTTGGTGGCAATCTATGCATGGTTTTTCATGATACGCATCCTCTGTACATTTTCTGAGGACTCCTCACATATAAAAGTGCAGCAAGCCCACAAGGATAACACTAAGGCACCACAGCAGTCCCATCAGGGTAGAGGGATTATGAGTGTGCTGTATTTTGTATTATTTGCCTATCTTTCTTCCAAAATCCATATTAGATGAATACACATTGGTTTTCAACAAGGAAAAAAAGCTGATTTTTAATTTAAGAAAATAGTCACATAAAGACAAGAAAAGTAATCTTCTGTTAATAATGAGCTTATTTCCTACAAATGACAATTCTGAGTGTTCCAGGCTGATAATAAATGACACACCATTATTTCCCCTAATCTCCTTGTAACATTCTCCCAACTTATTTGACTGTAGAAATTTAAAAACAAACTCAGCTACCATCTGCA